TTCAGAGGTGTAGAAGACCTATAGTCGTTTGGCGGCAAAGCATTATTGGGTGGCGATGCGCTGAGACAGGGCATGATTGGCAAAACGTGATGTTTGTCAGCGGTACAAGTACATGACCACAACACCAGGGGGATACTACAATCATTAGCATTACCAGAGAAGATTTGGGAAGTGGCGATGAATTTTATCGAGTTGCCACGATGATTATGGTGGTCATGAATCGCTTAAGTATGCACATTTCATTCACTTACGACATCCCTATACTGCGGTCTCCATCACGTCGGTGTTTATCTGGAAAATAGTTCGTTGGCACGGGATGCCGAAATCGATTGTATTGGATAGGGACAAGGTGTTCCTTAAGCACTTTTGGAAAGAGCTATTTAGGTTGCAAGGGACAGTCCTTTAAAAGGGCACAACATATCATCCCCAGATAGATGGGCAAACAAAAGTGACCAACAGGAGTGTGGGGACATACTTACATTGTTTTGTATCTGATACACCAAAGTTATGGGCCAAGTAGATTGCATGGACCAAATATTGTTATAATATTTCGTACCATACCGCATCACAGACAACCCTTTCAAGATATTATATGGGTGGGATCCACCTCACTTGACACATTATGGGCCTAACACCAGTACTTAGAGAAGAGGGACACGATACTAGCAGAGCTTAAGGTGCATCTTTTGAGGGCTAAATAAATCATGAAGAATAAAGCAGATGGACACAATAGGGACGTGCAATTCAAACCAGAAAACATCATGTACTTGAAACTAAGACCCTACCGACATAAGACATTGGCCAGGAAAAGCCAGAAACTTTCACCAAGATACATTGATGGTACATATTGCAGCAGTGGCCTACCGTTTAAGGTTATCACCATCATCTGCACGACACCCAATCTTCCATGTATCCCAACTGAAACTAGCAATTGGAGATCACACACCCTCATTTGCACTACCGCCGACACCGAAGAATGACTTGGAGGTGATTCTAAAGCCATTAGAGATTGAAAGAGTGCACCGAGGAATATAGGGAGCGAAGGAGATATTGGTTAAGTGGAAAGGACTATCAGACTATGAAACAACATGGGAGCCTTACGAGGTGATCCACAAACAGTTTTCATCTTTCCACCTTAAGAACAATGTGTTTTTTTTTTAGGGGAGTAATGTTACACACGGGCAGGTACCGGTCCAAAAGGGACCAACCGATTGCAACCCAGCCGGCCCACAGGCGGGAAGGCCTTTGTCACGGGAAGAAGGAAAGGGATTCGAGCGAGGCACAAAGGAAGGAAAAGAGGGGGTAGGGTCCACTAGGGCTATAATCACATTTCAAGGAGGAGAAATTAGAGGATGCTTGGAGGAAAAGCAAGAAATGAAAGGTTTCAAATGTTGTTTGAAGATTCTTTTAAGGGGGGATCCTACTTTCACGCATGTTTTTGTTGGGTTGTTATTTTCTTTCTCCATGTGGTGTTGTTAGCGACGTCTAGAGTGTGAGAGAGGCGATCTACCTCTCGAAAAGTAGATCAATCTTTTATCTTACTTGTTTTCCTTTGATTTTCGTAAGAGCAGCCCTTATTTGTGTTTTTCCACTTATATATTACCGTTTCATCGTGGTTTGTTCATTGATTTTGGTTCTAAGGAATATCAAAACAATCTTCAAACCTTTATGTGGGAACATGTTACATCATCAAAGATTGTAAAGTTTGTGCATCAAGATTTAAATACTCTAAAGATATGATCATTAATCTGAAAGAGTTTCCAAAAGGGCTCAAAGGTCAAGCAATAATTAACAGCATCAAAGACTAACCTGAGAAAAAAAGATCCAAGGATCCACCTTGGTTTGTGCACTTCTATTGCATGTAAAGGTACAAGCACCAAAGAAGCTAATCCGCAGTACAAGGACTACATTGCCTAGAGTTACACAAAAATAATAGTTTTATCCTCTCACTTGATTGTGCACAAACTCACACTTGATCTGAATATAAAACCTATTAAAAAAACACGAAGGAAAATAAGGTTTAAGCTTGATCAAAATAAAATTAATAAAACAAAGAATCTCATCAAAAGTTAGCATCACCCAAGAGGAAAAATGCCCTAGCAAGATTACTAACATTATTTGACTGTAGAAGAGAAACTAAATCCAAGTCTACATCAATTTCATAACCAAACAAAGCATATCAAAAAGACAATTTCCCTCAGTGCATAATGGAACTCATGCCCAGAATGCTCACATTCATGGCATGTTATCTTTCAAATATAGATTTGCAGTTGATCCAAAAAATTCCAAGATGTATTAAAGAGGTTCTTGAATCAAGTTTCTCAACAACTCTATAAAACACGATAATCCTCCTGCGGGGTGTTGGCCATGCTTAACAACAGAGTCAGATCAAAATACAATTAGAGGCCTTATTTCACAGCATATCTAAGTAGGATAAGAGCATTCAAAGAATAATCACTTATAGAAAACATCGACCTATAAAAAGTTTCAGACTAAGATCTCAATAAGCCTTGATTGGCATGGGAATTTTTCGACTTATCTTGAAGGTGTAAAAAAGCTTCCTAAGAGGATGCTTAACTGCTTGATTAATGTCTCAAATTTAAGATGTGCTGCGTACTCAAATCAATTGATCGGGCATTTGCTTGTTAGTTGTAAGTCCCCTCTGGTCTGGGGCTCGATCCCCCCCCCCCCCCCCCCCCCCCCCCCCCTTTTTTTTGTGGCACTGCAGGCGCGCCGGGGCGCCCCCCCCCCCCCCCCCCCCCCTCTCCCGAGTGTAGGGAGTGGTACTCAAATTCTTAGGCGCATGAGGGATGGCCGGGGCTCGTATAATAGCCTCCGGCCATTCCTTAAAAAAAAAACAAAAAACAAAATGGTCTCAAATTTCAGATCCCAAACCCTTATTACAATTATTTTCAGAATGACTTGGTTGTATCATTAGGATAGAACCAAGGTTTCTTGTGCAACTAATTTCTCGGGAAAATTGCATTAACATTATAACTAGAAATTTTTTAGTACTGTGGTCTGGGTTAGGTTTCAAGTAGTTTGCAACCCAATTAAAAATCAACTTTTGTTCAATCCAACCACATAGTTACTCTTAGCATAAAGCTAGCAAGACTCATTTTAATCTTTAAACAAAACTAGCACCTTGATGTTGATTCAAACTCAATCCAAACCTAAGTCAACTTGGTCTTCAAGCTTCTGAGAGCACTATATATATGCAAATATTAAATGCATAAGCATATATTTCAATCAAATTTTAATTACACAAATGTATGTTTCAATTCAATGAACCAGGTGTTCATGGGAACCCAGCTCAAGCTTCTTTTTTCTTTAAATTTCATTTCAATAGGAAGGGAGAAGGAGATTAGAAATTTAGATGAGGAGAGAGACTATTTGTGCGAGAGGGTAGGTCCTAGTATAATTGATTTAGGATCCTTTTTATATTTTGAATAAACTGTTAGTTTGAGTTATCCGCCAATGCTTATGTATTATAACAGTTCCATTAGCCAAAGTAAAGGATTTCAAGTTTAATCTCTACCAGTTATCTGAAAGAGATGTCTTGAAGGCATTAAAGTGGGCATGTTGAGGTGGCTTAACATTTAGAATTTGAAGAATGACACAAGTCTTTGAAGAAGATTGAGAAAGTTAGTTAGGGAAAGTGAGGAATTGAGGATGAATCAAAAAATATCATAGAAGGGCGGTCAAAAAGAAACTAGGTGTATACGACACGTGAGATAATGGAGAATATCATAAAACTGGTGTAAGAGTGATAAAGCAATCAAAAGAAGTGAGCCAACAGCATGATAACCTTAAGAAAATAAGTTTTCAAAATAAAAATCATTGGCATAAGACAAGAAAATCAAATACAATTGATACAGAAATTTTGCCCTGATAATAAATCACCATAAAGCTGAGTCAGGTAATAGTAAATCATGGTGCAGAAGAACAGCAAAGAGGAATGGGATTACCAAAAAATGAAAAAAAACTTGTTATCATACAAGCCCTTTGAATCTCTTAAGGGGAAAAACAGCAAATATTTTCAGGTTGGTTGAACATTTTCATCTTTCATAAACTTATGTTAAATTACTTAAACCATCTACTAATGATTATAACTAGGCTACTAAAAAAACACACCAATCCTTAACAGCATTTTACATCAAAACAATACATAAATAAATCTCAAACAATACTATAAAAATATAGCTCAACTCAGAATTGATTCAATCGCTGCCGCCGCCAAAAAAACAAAAATTCTACTTCTCTCTTTATTAGTTTCATCTCTTCATAAATATCTCAATTCTTTTAATCCCCTTTTCTTCTTTATCGTAAAGTAATTATTTCCATCTCAGTACCAATAATGATACCAATTCAAAAGTAGCTTCCCAACACTATTACCTCAAAAAGATTGCTTGTTATCAAGCATATTCCACTGCATGATTCTAAAATATGTAGTTATTCATCGATGACTATATGCAGAGAACAAAACCAAAGAGACTCGCTGAGATTGCCAGATAAAAGTATCACAAACATGAATAATCTCCTCCTCCATTCCTCCTCTCAATATTAGGTCTAACGGGCTTCATTTTTGGCACATCACATGAAGAATCACTTAGCAAGCATTAGAACTACTGCTGCAGCTTTTGTACAAAAAATTCAACCGAAGGTACATCACACAAAGTGTTGCAAAATAAGTATAGCAATAAAAAACAGAACTGTGAAGTCAGAATAGCTATCAAAATAGCCATGACAAGTTCAATTAGAACAGTTTGTATAAAAACAAGGCCCAAGTACTTGGACCAAGCAGACGTTAAAAACTAAAACAGCAAACTTCCAAACCTTAACAAATAAAATCCCAAGCACAAATGCAATCACTGAACATTTCAGAAATAAAATAAAAAATCCGAATAATAATTAAAAAAATAACTAAAAGAGGCATTTTGAAAAATCATTTATGAAAATTATGAATCAAATGAAAGTGCAACAAAATTTTCTACACTTACTAGGAACTTTGGCAGATATAACAGCAGGCGGAGATTTTTTATTGGATCTATTAATACGTTTGTTGTCATGTTCTTCTGTATCAGAACTGCTGCTGTCACTATTTCCACTGCCTGAATCACTTGAACTTGTTGAAATCCTATAAGAAAAATAGACTCAAATATTACTCTAAAGATTTCACTCCAAATTACATAAGACACTTTATGAAGAAAAGAATATAAAACAAACAGAACAAAAGAAAAACATTTTCATAAGTAATGTACTACCATTTTGACTTTCGTCTTGACTTATTGGTGAGGTTTCTACGTTGCTTCCCTCTATGCTTCTCTTGTTTTCTTTTTCTATTTCCATTTTTATCCTTTACAATAGCTTTCTTTCTCCTCTTGTGTCTGTAGTCACTAGACGAGCTTGAGCTTAAAGATGAAGTGTCCGAATCAGAATCACTACTAGTTGAATAGGAATCTGAGTCAGAATCATCAGAACTAGAAGAATCTGATGATGAGTATCTCTTTTTTCTCTTTGCCCTTTTGTCCTTAACATGTCTTTTGTCACCGTCCCTCACTCCATCAGAACTATCTGAAAGATCTTTCTCAACCTTTTCTGGTTTCTTGCCTGCAATAACTAAAATGTGTTTATTAGGGAACAATTAAGTAAAAATAATACTAGCTCTGATATCCTCTAAGTACCTTTCTCAGCTGAAAAAGAGGCAGCCTTATTTTCAGTTATTTCACCACAATTCACAATTTTTACAAGACAAGTAGGTTTTCCACTATCAGAACCAGCTTGCTCAATCTTCTTCAGAAAATCCAAACCATGTACGACCTTTCCAAAAACAACATGTTTTCTAAAGAAAAAGAGAGACAGTGTGCTACTGTTAGTATGCAAAATAGCAGCCAAAAAACGAACTAGTGAGGATAAAAATGATGGCATATAGAATAAAAAAAATTAATAAGTGGTGTCCTAATTAAAATTTGCCGTAAAGATATTATTTAATGTTAAACTAGCCAAATAGGTGCATGCTAGGTTGACATGATTTACATCAAAATGTAAGTTTGGTTAAATATCCAAAAAAATTCAGATGTGATATAAGTGATTGACCGATGCAACTTCTCTCCAAAAATATTTATTAAATATAATTATATACATCAGCTAATTTATGCAAAAAATAAGAGGGAAACTTACATACATACCACACAATTCTTATGTATTTATATATCTAACACCTAAACTTTCATATTTACATGCATGCCACTTTGGTGTGATAAACTTATGCATGAAAAGTTGTATTCAATTTTTAAAAACTAGGTGATAGCTGTATTTTTGATATGATATTAAAAATTTGAGTGCTATGCAGGTAAATATAAAATTTTGGGTGTTGGATATGTAAATACGTAAGAACTGTGTGGATTGTATGTAAATGACCAAAATAAAATTATAACTATATTTCAAAATCAACTGTAGGTAAAATCTTACCCATCAAGAAATGGTGCGGCCTTCAGTGTAATAAAAAACTGGGAACCATTTGTATCTGGACCACTGTTTGCCATGGACAGAATCCCACGTCCATCATGCTTGAGTTTAAAATTTTCATCTTTAAAGAAATTTAATGCATAAAACAAATCAATAAACTACAATGGATGCATGGATGTAGCGGAACTAAGAAAGTTAAAGACGTGTACCTGGAAACTTTCCTCCATAAATGCTCTCACCACCACTGCCTGGAAATAACAATTAAGGTTGAGCTTTCAAGGCAAAGATACAGCTAGAAGTCACATATGTAAAGATTCCTGGGCATATATCAATTCAATACCATCTTGTCGTGTAAAATCACCACCCTGGAAAACATTCCACCAAAAAAAAAAAAAAAATATTAACATTAAGATCATCATTTATTTAAAAATGTGCAGTTATCGTTAAAAAATTTCATGTGAATCAACTAGAAGTCCCAATAAAACTGAGTTAGCAAGCAAGGAAGGCAAAACACTGCTTCTTAGAAAATAAGTTTGACAGGATAAAAACAGATACGACTAATTCATGAGTTTAATTTCATACCTGGGCAACAAATCCTTTAACTATGCGATGAATGATCGATCCCTTGTAATGTAAAGGCTTTGAAGTGGAACGTCCTGAACCTTTCTCACCTAAACACACACAAAACTAGGCTTTGACAGCACTTCAAAATGAAGTTTCAAATAACTTCCAAATATATACAACAAACAAGCAGAAGATGAACACATTAGAGTGGGGAATAATGATCCCAACGATGGACAAAGAACAAAAAATACCATGAGGGAGATAATATATTGCTGCTCTAATTGTAGTGAGACATCAGTCACTAAATTGGACATTAATACAATTGAAATCATTTCAGGGACAGCAACATATAACATAAACAGCAGAAGATGAAACATTAACCCTGTTAAACAATTTAGAAGATAAATGTGTGTCAGCATGACATCCAATGCGGGAAAGCCACAGTGCCCCCACATATAAAACAAGATCACAATAAAAACCATGTGAAATATGACAAAATGAACAACATATTAAGTGTAGTTAAGGAATTTTGACATCATGTTTCATATCAAACTTTAGTTCTATATTAGCTGTATAAGAAAATTTGAAATAAAATGAAATGTTACATTTGTCCTGCAAAAAATTGACCATGCATCGTCAATGTAATGAAATAACACAATTGTTGATATTTTTGTTGCTCTTCTTGGATGTTGTATTTTTATCTATTGTTGATGTCAATCTTGGGGATATTCTTTTTGTGTGATGGTGGTTTTGTATTGTTTTTGCTGCCTGTCATTTTTTTATAACTACCACCTATAATATCATTTTTTATTATTATCAAATATCATAAATTCTTCTTGTGACATTTGCTTTAATCCTCTCTTTTAAAAGGCATAGCTTATTAAAAGAAAAGAAAATGTATGAACAAAATGGAGATTCAATAACCATTTAGCTAGCAAAAGTTCACAAAGTTACACTATAGTCAGCCAAAAATACATTAAGACAGAAATTTCACAAACAGCCTGGGGAATGTACGAATAAAAACTCATCCACTCATCCAGACTGTTTAACATTAAGAACCATAATTCAACAGCCAACGAATTGATTGCAGAGGCTTTCATTTCACTCAATATTGATCATGTTTTTTTCTTTTACAATAGATTTTCCAATTAATAACTATGGAATTATTTTGTGAAAAAACACTCATTTCATGAGCACATGGACTTACATAGAGCCTTACAACATTTACAAAAAAATCAGTAGACTTCTTCTATTTACAAATATAACCCTACATTAGATACAAATCTCAACATTCCCCCTCAATATGGACAAAAGATATCAACAAGCCCATCTTGTCAAACAATCTAGACAAATCTAATGAGCTAGGGCTTTTGGTAGGCAGTCAGCCACTTGCTCTCTAGTGGCTACATAACTTAGCTATTGTAGACCGTTATTCAACTATTCCATGATGAAGAACCTATCAATCTCCATGCGTTTGGTTCTATAATGTTGCACAGGGTTGTTGGCAGTGCTGATCGTTGACTTGTCGTCGCACCACAACTTCATTTTAGTTCTTTGGTCCGCCTTAAGCTCTACCAACAAGGCTCTCAGCCACATCATCTCAGCATCTCCTAAAATCATGGCCCTATACTTTGCCTCTGTTGTTGACCTTGCAACTACTGACTATTTCTTGCACTTCCACGAGACCAAGTTGCCCCCTACAAACATGCAGAATCTAGATGTGGACTTCCTGTCATCCATAAGACTCCCTAATCAGAGTCATAATAGCCGTCAATTCTTAGATGTCAATTATTCCTTAAGATCAGCCCCTTCCCTGGTGCACCCTTTAGATATCTCAGAATCTGATATAATGCATACCCTTCCTCAAATCATACATGTAGCAACTCACCATACTTAGTGCAAATGATATGTTGGGACGGGTGTGAATTGGATAGATGAGACAACCTAACACCTTTGGTACCTCTCACAATCAACTGGCTCTTTTGCCACTGCGCTTAACTTTCTCTTCTAATCAATTGGTGAAACTGTAAGCTTGCATCCCAACATGTTTGTCACATTGAGCAAGTCTAACACATACTTCCTCTGAGTAGGGGTGTAAACGAGCCGAACACGAGCGAGCCATGCCCAGCTCGCG